CCCTTGTTGACTATGAATATAGTTCCCATAATTCATAAACACACATTAAAATTGAAAGATGGTTAATTCTCTTCATTCTTGTGAAGCCATAAAACGAATCTAGCTAAAGTTTTTAAAATAAAATGACAGTGGCTTATATATCCTTTCCAAGAAACAAAGAATAGGTGCACATTACATACAGATTGCTATAAAAATAAAATTTCTTACCTATTCAGCTTGACACATCCTTTGTTCTGGTAAACTCCTTAGGTTAATAAAAGTAACTGAGTAAAAGCTGGCATCTAGAACATATTTCACTTTTAAGTATGGTTCACATTTAGGTATTTCATTGCAAGCTAAGAACTGTTGAGAAGCTAACTTTACTGAGAAGTGGTTGCATATGAACTGCTGTAAACTTACATGAACCTCACGTTATAAAAAAAAAAAAAAAAACCAAACCAAACAACCCCACACACAAAACCACAGCAACTTCTATTTTAAATTCTGTAATGAAAAGTCCTGTGAAGTATGTGTCTTTCCAAAGTGCATTCCATCTATTTCTAACTCCTGAGAGCCCTCTAGTGCACTGCATGCAAATGTACTAAAGAAACTCCCTTTACTGCATTTAGTTTTTTGGGGGTTTTTTGAGTGTGAAATACCACCCACTCCCTGGATTTTAAAACTTTTGAGGACCATATATTGTTGTGGTGAGAAGTGAAAAAACAGATAGACACTTATAAAATGTTATTAATCTGCCACTAAACAGCTCAAGAGTGTCTCCTAATTGCGCTTTCCGGAGCAAGGCACAGCAGAGTCCCTGTACAGCTGGAAAAGTTGGGGCAGACAGAAGTTAAGGGCAAACCTCTGACATCTCACTCCTTTCCTAGTCTAAGTATAAAATAATAAAATGTATATGTTCACTGTAATTCAAAGAGTGGAGATATTCTCTTCTCCATAGCTACTACTAAAGGAGAATAGTTAAGACATTCGTCTATGTTTCATATTGGTCCAATATTAATTTACAAAAATTTATGACTGCATTTTTTTCCACATGCCATCACTTATCCTTACTTTCTGTCTAAATATGTACTGCCAAGTTAAAACTGCAGTATCCATGCCCATTAACAGTAAAAGAGCCTCCCTGTTACTTATTTTTTCCAAATCTGAGTTTTTGGAGGAATTGGGATTGTAAGAAATCTCTTCATCCACTTCAGTTCTTCTTTCTTGTTTTAGTTCAGATTTGACTGATGGGGCATATCCCAAACAAACAGAATTGATTCCAAACTCTCCAGACAAGTTGCTTGAGTTGGAAATGCATCACACTGCAACAGTTGTTTCCAAATACCCAGTTCCTGCAAGCACACAGCACCTGTCTGTTAGAACCAAGCAGCACCAAAGCACTCTACATTCCAGTCACTAGCAGGACTCCTCTGCTGTAACAATTCTCTGAAATTGTCTGTAATCTAAGTAATCTTTCTACTGCTACTCTTTAAATACTATCTGGAGGAAATTATAAAATGATATGGAGAGTCATTCTTCAGTTCTCATTTCATTTGTAACCTTGAAATCGTAATGTGGTGTACATACTGATGTACAGTGTTGACTGTTGGGGTTTTTTTGAGGCTTTCTAAATGTGATAATAGCAATTGTATTTCCTTTTTTTCTTATGTTCAGAAGAGAGAACTCAGGTGCTGGTATGTTCTTTGGAATGGATGGTGGCAGAAAATCAACTAGACAGAATACAGTATATCTTGTTAGTTTAATAGATGTTTGCCTCTAATTTTAGATTCTTAAACGGCAAAATATCAAGTGATTTTTATTTTTTTTTCAGCCCCTGTGGTCTACATCTTTAGTGCCCTAGCAGATACCATAAAATAAGGAAGGCTGAAATGACTATGGAGTTGTCTGGAAAAAAACCATTTCATCGTGTTTCACAAGAAACAAAGAAAATGTTTTTTGTTCAAGTGGGTACTGTACTTCTCTCTGGAATCATTCTCACCCAAAGCTACAGCAAAGCACTAAAGGGTACTGCCAAGCTGAAACAGTACTTCCTCTGTGGTGATCAAATATTTAAGACAAACTTTCAGAACAGCAGCTACTGTCTGACCAAATTCTGGCCTCCATTATTTCACTTTGCTACATACAGCTAGCCTGTAGTATGTGTCAGATTTTGTATTTGTTCCTTCCTCTAAACTATAACTGTGATATTGCCATCTGCATCCACTAAATTCAGCTTTTCATGTAATGTCTTCATATACTCATATTTCATGGTTAGTGTAGTATCTTCCTAAGGAATAAAAGCATATAAAAACTAATATAGGAAAATAGCAAACAATGGAAGAGGGGAATTAAAGAAGTATTTTCTAGTCCTTCACAGATCTAGGTATACTTTTTTCATGTGAATGAATAGCTGGATTAACTGTTTACAATTATTTTCTTCGGGTTTTTTCCCTCTTCGTTTTGTTCTGTTTTGTTTTTTGTTTAACTTTGAAATTCACCTCCACCTGTATTTAAAGAGGTTTTCTGCTGGTGCTGGACAAGCTGCAGAATCTGAAGCAGCTGGTGGCCTGCACTGCTCCAAGCAGGAGGCCTCTGGCCAATTTGCAGAGACAGGTGGAGTGTGCCAATGCCCAGCAGCCACAAGGTCCTGCATGTTGACTTTATCCCTGGGCACCTGAAAGGATGTGGCTACAGACTAGGCTCCTTGATGTGTGTGCTCTTGCCTTCTATGTGCAGGCACTTCAATAGAATAGGTTAACATTTTTCCCACCACTTCTTTTCAGAATAAAATAACAGAACACATATACTTGCACTGCCTTTAGAATTCTTTTTTCTGCGTGCTACCTTTGTGATTATGATATTATTTCTCTTAGATGCACTATAGCCATATTGTTTCCATAGAGGTGTTCTGCTATTCATCTCTAAATGACACATGGACAGACATTTAGGTTAAAATGATTGATAAATGGTGCATGCCTAGCTTTACTGAATCCATACGACTGACAACTTATTCTCCAGAGAAACAAAGGAAGCCCTTATTATGGATAATGCAGATTTAATTTGCAGAATATGAATCATTACTTTAGAAGGCTCGTGCTGTGTTTGTAAGGAGATCAATTTAGGCTGCCATCTGGAAACTGTACTTCAAGAGTGCAGAGAGAAATGTTTGCTTCGTGACTAAACATGCTGACTAATAGTCTGTGCTTTAACTGGTCTGGATCAAATCCTTACAGGGAAATCTGCAAAGACCTCTTCTTGACATCATGTAAAAGATTTTTTTCCTACTTGATTTTGCTTGCCAAACAACACAGGGTCTTCCAGACCAGCAGCTGGTAATTTTTGTGCTTAAGAAAAATAAAAACCTGGATGCCCTGACCAGGCTTGGTGGTTTCCTTGCCTTGCTGCACACCACAGTGTAGGGGGATACAATATAAGAAAATAAAGGTAGTATAGAAAGTAATCTTACCCCCTAAAGAGCTGCAGCTGGGTTAATTAGTAAGATTAGGAGCAGGCCTGATGTTAACAGGCTGCAGCTGTAGCCAATGAGAGGAGTGCTATAAAAGAGTGGATTGGTTGAGGGGGACTGGAGTCAGTGGGCTGCTGTGAGGACAAGGAAGAGTCAGTGCCTAGAGGAGTTGCCTACAGAAAACATCTAGGAGGTATGAAACTCTAGCAATATGGAACCATTGCAATGTAATGGCAATAGAACTCTTGCACTATAGTGACAACACCACAGGGCCAGCAGCTGTTGCGTGGCCTTGAAATGTCCCTGCCTTCCCTGAGATGCCTGTCCCCTCTGCAGGTGCCTGCAGCCCCCAGCCCCATGACAGCCTCTAGCAGCCAGGGAGACCTCGGGAGCGAGAGGAGCTGCGAGGAGGCCGTGCTGTCCCCTCGGGAGCGAGAGGAGCTGCGAGGAGGCCGTGCTGTCCCCTCGGGAGCGAGAGGAGCTGCGAGGAGGCCGTGCTGTCCCCTCGGGAGTGAGAGGAGCTGCGAGGAGGCTGTGCTGTCCCCTCGGGAGCGAGAGGAGCTGCGAGGAGGCCGTGCTGTCCCCTCGGGAGCGAGAGGAACTGCAAGGAGGCCTCGCTGTCCCCTCAGGAGCAAGAGGAGCTGTGAGGAGGCCATACTGTCCCCTCGGAAGTGAGAGGAGCTGTGAGGAGGCCGTGCTGTCGCCTCTGCAAGCAACCCCATCCCGGAACCACGTCTGTGTTCCTGGGCAAATGCTGCCAAAACTCGGGTGCCTTTTCTGGAACACGAGTCCTGTGAGGACCAATTGAGGGAACAGAGAGGGTGTTTAGCCTGGAGAAAAGGAGGCTCAGGAGAGACCCTACTGCTCTCTGCAACCACCTGAATGGATGCACCAGGTAGCCAGCAACAGTATGAGTGGGCATAGCCTCAGGCTCAGCTTGGGGAGGTTTAGGCTGGACATTAGGAAGAATTTCTTCACAGAAAACATTGCAATATAGTGCCTAGGGAGGTGTTGAAGACTGGATGTGACACACAGAGCATGTGATTAAACACTGGAATTAACACAGGGAGATGGTGGAGTCACTGTTCCTGGAGGTGCTTAAGACAGGATGTGGCACTTAGGACACTCCAGGGTCTAGCTGGCATGGTGGTCTTGGGTCACGGGTTGGACTCCATGTTCTCCAGACGCTTTTCCCAACCTGATTGACTCTGTGACTCTTCAGTTACGGTCACAGCACCTCCGGCCTGTGGAGTCCACAGCTGCACTTCCACTCGGGAGGGAACTGTCTCATCCGCGCCCTTACTGCAGGGAGGACCAAAGGCGCTTTTATCACGACGTGGGTGCATTAATTTAAATTTTCTCTTAGCCATCCTTCCCCGCCAGACGGGAAGCCGCCATGGCAGCGAGACAAAGGCAGTCGAAATTACCCACCCCCGACTCGCCTCCGCCCCGCTCCCGGACGGGGAAGAGCCCAGTGGGCAGAAGCGGATGGAGGCGGGCGGGGCCGAGGCGCGGGGCGGTGCCGGCGCGGGCGGGCGGTCGCGGTGCGCGGCGCTGGGGCTGCGCGGCTCCAGGCGGGCGGCGGAGCCGTGGCCGCACGGAGGGACGGAACCGGAGATCTGTCGGTATGGGCCCGACCCGGCCGCCTTCCACCCCGGAGCGGAGCGCCCTAAAACCCGCCACGGCGCTGAGCACAGGGCGCTGGGGGGAGGAAGGAAGGCGTCCGGCTGGGGGTCTCGGGTATCCCCTCGGGGTGCGGGGCCGAGCGGTCGGGACCGAGGGCTGGGCCGGGCCCCGCCTGCAGCCCGGGCCTGCCCCGCCGCAAACCCGGCGCGGTGGCGTCAGTGAAGCCACGGCGGCCCGGGTGGAGCTCTCAGCTGAGCGTTTTCCTTGTTCCGTGGTAGCACTTAGTCCAAACAGTGCCCGAAGAACGTCTTTTAAAAGAGTTCATCCCAGGGAAGCAAAGATACATTGCTAGAGCAAGGGTTATGGTGTCGCTTTGGCACGTTGATCTGAGCCAACTCAGAACTCATAGGAGTGTCCTAAGTTAAGGGTGAAAGTATCCACCCTTAATGGTAAATGGATAATAGGAGAAATATGCAAATAAACAGTCAGTACAACATGCAACGTTTAAAAAAAACCACTTAATTAGTAAAGAGGTTCTTCGGAATCTTACCAACAATTTGGTTCACCATTGGGGTGAAGGCTCTGAAAGACAGGGCCTCTTGATTTTGTCCCTCTCTGCAGAGATTGTAGCAATGTGTTGCTGTTGCAGTAAGTGAGCATCGTGGTTTGTTGTGTCATATTTCTGAGGGAATTGTGGAAATGCAGAGCACAGCACTCCAGTGGGGTGAACCAGTGAACTTAGGAAAAGAGCAATGTGTGCCAACAAAATTCAAACATCCAGCAGCAAAATGGTATTTTTTCTGCTGCTGGGAATCCTAAGGGCAACTTAGTGGGAAAAAAGCCTTCAATAACAGTATCAATTGCAGTTGCCTTTGCTTGAGTTCCAGATACAACCACTATGCTTTTAAGAGCATAGCAGCTTCAGCATTTGTTCTGGTTTTGGCATTTGTTGCCTCTTGAGTCTTTGGAGGGACATATGCAAGTCCATCTGGCAATAACATGGGATTGAAGAGAAAAGGCTTTTAGTGAACTCTCAGAAGCTCTCTGATGTTGAAAGTATGTAGAAAAAATACAGCTTAATGCTGTGTGACAATTTATTATTTGTGCTTGACATTTGATCATACAATATTAGAATTATTTAGCATGGGAGGGATCTCTGTAGATCATTGGTTCAATTCCCTACTTTAAGCAGTGCTGATATCAAAGTTAGAGCAGGTTGCTGTAGGCCTTCTGTGATTAAGCTTTCTCTTGAAGGATTTGAAATGGAGTTGAGAGTTGGGTGTGAAATTTAGCCATATTTGGAACAAAGTGTCCCAAGTTTTGGAATGTACACAAAGTTCACATTATTATGGTGGTTCTCAGAGACACCTTTTCTGTCAAAGTGATACTCCATATCAAAAGTGCATGTGTGGCTCATCTGTTGAGTGCAACCTCAAGATGACTCACTTTAAAAAAAATCAGATATTCTGGGATTAAAACAATCTTTGCCTTTCTTACTGTACTTACATGGAATGAACGAGGAAATTTTAGAGGCAGCTTCTCCCTTTGCTCCCCACAGAAAAATGAACCTTTACTCATATTTAGTATCAGTTAGAGCAATCCCTGTGGTTCCCTTATGATTCCATACTGATCTCACTCTGGCATCTATAGAATCTCTGCACCCATTCCTGACTTCTTGACAATGGGTCTGCTGTAAATGCTTCTGCCAGCTGCACCCCATTTGACTACATGAATAAGGAATATTCTGATAGCATCTCACTAAAGCATCAGTGCTTCCCATAGCCCTCACAGATTCATAACCTCTCTACATTCTTGTCTTCAGATAAAACATACAATATTGTGGGCTTTTTTGTTTAACTGTTAAGTCACTTTATTAATGCTTTATGTCTGGTTTTTGTGGGGTTCTACATGAACCTTTCCTGCATTAACCTCTTTGCAGTTCATAGCAGCTTTGAGAGACTGATAAGTAAGGTCCTTTAAGTTTCAGATTTCTAAACCAGGTTGGTATTAATTAATAGTCCACATACTTAATTCTACTCTTTGATTCCAGATTCTGTCCGGACCTGCAGCAAAACAACTCCACAAAAAAAAAACCCCTTCAGAGCAAAGATGAATATCGGGAAAGCTTACAGTGCTGCCAACATCAGCAATGGAACAGATCTAGCTATTGGCTTTGCCTCTTCCACAGTAGCTGTCCTTCTATTTGGGACAAACTTTGTGCCTGTCAAGAAATTTGATACTGGTGATGGTAAACTTGATTATGTTGTTTTCTTTGGCTATTTTTTCTTAAAAGAATAATATTTTACCAGCAAATTACTAGAGGCCATCATCACAGCCTTAATCCAGAGAGTATGTTTAATTTTTTCTGCTGTTGCTAGGGTATAAAGCAAAAAATACTGCTTCAGGATGTGGCACATCTTGAGAAGGGCCTTTTCATAAGTTGTAAGCTTTGACAGTGATGTACATTTCATGAGAATTTCACAATGGAAGGTGAAATGTTCTTTGTTCTACCCTTGTGGGGATTCTCAGATACATAAAATGTTATTTATAAATGAGGTAAATGTTATTGGACTTTGGAGCATTGCCTTTCAATTGTGCACCTAACATAAAAACAAAACCTGAGTTTAGTAATCTTATTTGCTGACTTGTTCAGAGGAAATTTTCATGTTTATATGAAGCATAGCCAATTATCAGATCTGTAAATGAGTTAATTTCCCATTGTGTTATTGTAATATGGTACCTGCATTGCAGGCTGGGTATAGCCTCTGCTCTTTAAGCCAAATGTGACCCTAACAAGACAAGCTTGGGCATAAAGTTAACTGTCTGCCTAACTGACCCTTCAAGAATATACAGAGGTAGAGGAGATCTGTCACTGACCATTCTCAGTGTCTGGGATTACCAGAAAAGCTTGAGCTTTGAAAAAGTCTCATCCTGTGCAGTCCTCTGTGTTAGCAGCTACTGGAGTGGTGGGAAAAGTTGACAGCAACTGCATATCACCTTTGTCAGAAGTCCATCAAAAGTTTTATGTGTTTAAGAATTAGGGCTTGTGTGAACTTTGGCCAGCAAAGTGTCTTTTGAAACTCTGTAGGAGGAATTTGTGATAAGGAAAAGGTTAACCAAATTATAACCCACCCTAAAAATGCATCCCTTGAATAAATTATAACAAGGCTCCCAGCATTCACAAAGGCAGTGGCCACCTTTTTGATCTTTGTTATCTACTAGTGTATCAAAGATAAACGTAAACTGTTGAGATATTCACACATGCAGTATTCTACAAATTCCCTAGTGTGTGTATTTGATTTTTCCACAGGCATGTTCTTCCAGTGGATTCTCTGTGCCTCCATATGGATAGTTTCTTTGGTGGTCAATTTGATCCAGAATTGCCCCCGCTTTTGGCCCCTGGCTATGGTTGGAGGTTTTGTGTGGGCTACAGGTGAGGATAAAGAGATTCCAATTCTTGAAGCTTTTCCATATATAAGATATTAGTTATTTAATAGTTATTCAGGCAAATTCACACCAAAAATAACATTTAAAACTATATGGAGGAAAAGTCTATGTACAGTGTGATTATTTTTGAAAACATTGTTTCTTACTGCCTTGTAGCTTCCTAAATTTTTTTTGCCTTTCGACCAAGCACAGAACCAAAAGCAAACACATACAAGATCACGTTCTGTTTTTTACTGATTTCAGTTTTGGTTTTTGTATTTCAGGCAATGTTACAGTTGTCCCTATTGTTAAAACTATTGGCTTAGCTCTTGGCCTCTTGATATGGGCTTCTTTTAATTTGCTGACAGGCTGGGCAAGTTCAAGGTAAGTATGTTTTAAATCTTAAGTCATTAATTAACTAATGACATCATTAATGTTGCCAGGTCTTCATTGATAAGTGAAAACTCACCTGTAGTATCACAGAGTCATTCAGGTTGGAAAAGACCTTTAAGATTATCAACTCCAGCCATTAATGTAGCACTGCCAAGTCTACCACTATCCTATGTATTAAAACTTTTTCCTTTTTAGTGGAAAGTACTCAAGTTAACTGTTTTAGCTTTTTGTATTTCCTCTGTCTTAATAGAGAGAAGAATGCCCAGTGATGTGATTGAGTCAATAAATAATTAATTTCTTAATACATATTTGTGGGTTTTTTTCTTCTGCAATCTGGTCTGATAAAATAACTTCAGTTCTTAAATATGCATATATTTTTAAAATGCATGTTAAATTAAAGGTAGTTTTTGTAAAGTAGATGTTTTTTGCAAGCCAACTGAAGCACTGATCTAATACTGAAAATACTTAGGCAGAATTATTTACATTAGTCAAGACTTTAAGTACTAGGTTTTATAATTTAACTATTTGTATAAAGTCAGTGTGCCTAAGTGAAACTGGTTAAATGTTCCAGGTTTGGTTGGTTTGGAATTGACCCAGAAGAGGTATCAAGACCAATCTTAAATTATATTGGAGCTGGACTTTCACTTATAAGGTAGAAATTGATTCTTATAATTAATATGTTATGTCAAATACATATTTAATAAGCAACCACCAGGATGATTTCACAAGAGAAAAAATATATTGAATGATCTTTGGCAAATCCATATGCTTCCAAATTTGTGAGCCATCCATACCTAGTTGGTCAGTGTTCATGTAGAAACAGACATGTTTTCCTGTCTGTAATAGCTCTGTGTCACGTAAGTCTTAAGCCGCGCTTCCAAATCCCACGCATTGTCTTCCGTCAGGATCTTTGGAAGGACTTTATTCTCTCTTTTTGCTTGTTTGCTCTTTGTATGAATGCATACCTTTTGGTCCAAACACAGAGGGAAGAGGATCTTTGTTACGTAGCAGTGTTCTTGCTTTCCAGCTGGATGTCTGGGAAATATGGCCCTGAATCCTAAGGGCTTACTGTAAGCATGCTGGCAGAAGGTTAACAGAATGCCTTTCAGAAAAGGAGGGCATTAAGAACATGGAAATAAGCCATTTCTGACTAGTAGGACAGAGCTTCTGCCTTAGATTCATGATTTTGGCTTCCACTTTTCTTCTTTTCTAAGAGTCTGCAGCTTTATATCCATTCCTGTTACATGTGGCACATGATTTTGGGAGGTACTGAGAAAATAGCAGCAGCACTGCTATTCCTGCCTGATGGATTCATGCAGATCACCACCTGCTTCCTGTTTGAGATATCATGGAGGAGTGACCAGCAGGGAGAGGGATTGTGAGCAAACGTGTTTCCCTGGCAAACTGCACAAAGCCTGTGCATGTTGCTCTGTGGATCTCAGGAGCAGGCTCTTCATTTTAGCTTCCTGTGTGGAATCTGTATGTTTCCTCTGGAGGAAACTGACATCCTTGTATAACTATGCTTATTCCATCAGTAACAAATGAATCCTTCTTCAAATGGAAATATTCCATTTACAGCTAGGAGAAGAAATTCCTAGAGCATTAAAATGTTTTTTCATAAAAGAAAGAACAGATCCTTGCAGTTCTGATTGCAGGTATTTACCTGGTCTCCTGGAGGCAGAGTTAAGAGTAGTAATATTATCCTTTCTTCTCCATTTTATTCACTTAATACACTGAGCAATATCCCTTTTCCTTCTGTATGCTCACAAGGCCCTGTATCCCATTCCTCACGTATGATGGAAGACTAAACATTGGTATTTTTTCATGAACATAGAGGCAATTCTGTGGAGGCTTAAGCTGTTCCATATAGAATTTTCAAGCATGTGTTCCATTTGTGTAGGGTTTGGTACAAAAGGGCACTGTTAGCTAATGCACCTGTTCTTAATATGGTTGTAACTACCATATTAATATGGTTGTAACTACCAACTATGGTTGTTAAAAGATGATGTTTCAATCGCATCGCGTAAGAAGATAGATCTATAAAGTGAACAAAAACTGATTTATTTACTTACTTTCACTTAGGTTATCTTTTAGCTAAGTTAAATTAATAACTTAAAATTATTACATTTGCATATTTTATGTATATAGAATCATAGTAAGTTATGACTTTAAAGCAATTGCATTTTTAAATATACTGCAGTGACTCTAGGGTAATAATGAAAACAAAGGAATATGCCTCAAAATGAAACTCTTGTCTCTGGACACTAAATGTTTTTATAACTGACATGGTAATTATTGGTGTATTTTTCTCTTCTGAGTGCTGTCATATTTCTTTTTATAAAAACTGAAGTCCAGAGTTCTTCAACTTCATTAGAAAGCACACCTTTACTGAGAGAAAGTGTAAGTACTCTACAGTTGTTATTTTACAGCAGTGAAAATACATCTCCATTTTAAAACAAAAAAATGTGTTTGTTAGTCATGTTTGCTAAGCTTTATGGCAGACTACGTAAAACACAAATATGTACTGATTGTATCTTAATCTGTGGATCTTGGACATCATGTTTGATATTAGAAAGAGAAAAGATATTCTCAATTGTTCTTTCTTGTTTGCCAGCTTTAGATGGCTTAGAAAGTCCCTCTTCATTACAATGGAGATTACATAGAAGAGTGTATTACTTTCTTACCTGAAAAGAGGAAGCAATTTCAATTAAACATTAGCTGCAAAGCTGTGAGGGTGCTTAGGTGGAAGGCCAGGTTTTTGCCCTGTTGCAGAGCCAGGAGGCTGCCAAGAGTTGCTGACTGTCATCAGGCAGGCTGGAGGCCAGTGGCACAGGCTGGAGGCCAGTGAGGGGTACCAGATTGGCTGTCACTCCTTAGGGAGCACAGAGTATGCAAGGAGAGCTGGAGAAACCACAGGCTCCTCCTACCATTGTACCTTCCTGCTGGAGCTCACTGCTCAGTGGCTGCCTGGACAGAGAGCCCTGAGTTTTCTAGCTGTGCTCAGTGCTCACTAGAGGTTCCAGTCTACCAGACTGAATCATAGAAAACTCTTTTAAAAAATTACACATCTTAAGAAGTGAAACTAAACTAAATTTGCATTGAAACTCTTGGTTTTTTGCAGTCTATAAATGTTTCTGAAGAGATCACTGAGGACTCATGGGTGAACAAACTTTCTCCAGCAAAAAGGAGACTCCTGTAAGTTGCTCACAGTTCTTTGGCTGATGCATAGAAAGTAGCCAGAGAAAGTAGTTAAACACAGTGTAAGAGCAGAATTTGTGATTTCCTAGCAAAGTCCCACAATAAATGACAGGTTTTTACATACAAGTGTAGTGTGCAAATCTATATATGAATAGTTGCACAGCTATTTAGATTATTCCATTGGCCCTGTTGCGTGTGTCTAACCTTACCAATCAAGTATTAGGTACTACTGTGAAAAGTATCATTTGGCAAAGGAAATAACAATATCAACTCAGTAATTTCAGAGCTGGGTTTTAGCACCTAGTTGATTAGCACTCTAGTGTAGAAGAAGCCTGTGCTAATGACATGCTTCCAGGTGTGGTTTCCAAGTGAATACAGCTGGAGAAGACATGGCAGTATGGTAAGGAGACAGTAAAAGTGCTTCAAAGTGGAAGCAAGCTAAAAAGAAGCCTTGTGTGGGGAGTGGAGACTGCCAAGAGTGCAGCAATCTGGAGATGGAGAAGCAGACTGAAGAGTCAATGAACCTGGGAAATTAGAATATATAGATGGCAACAACAAAGGTGAGGGTGGGAGCATTTTTAACTGAATTTTTGTTTGTTGTCCCCTAGCTCTGCTTTTAGGAAATCCTAGTTATTTAATTTCCTGTATCATTAATCTAGATTGCTGGCTTTTACAGCAGGCATTGTTTGTCTTGTTTGGCTACAAAGTAGGAGGAAACTACGTGAACCATTTCTCTACCAGAAAAGAAAAATGTGCTAAAATGTTTTGGTTTTGTGGCTAGCAATTTTTATATGATGCACGGTTTTTACGTGTGCTACTGGACTTACATGTGTTGTCCACTTCCTTAACTCATGCAAGGCTATTTTCTCCTATTTTTGCTCTTTTAAAGAGGCTGTAGCCTGGCTGTAGTGGCTGGAATACTCTATGGTTCCAGTTTTGTACCAGTACTTTACATCAAGGACCATGGAAGAAGAAATGAAACTGTATACACAGGAGCAAGTCAGTTTGGTAAAGGCTTCTGGATCACTTCTACTTCATTTCATCATTGTGTTCTCCTTTTTTTTGAAGGCATAGGGTGAAGTTCTTGATATACCTAAAAATATACCATGACAATTTATCTGTTCTGCACTACTTTAGATGTTGTCATAATCATAGCCCTAGCACTCCCTTTTTCTCAGAGGTTAATTACACAATAAAAAACACTGAGAAGCAGCCCAAAGACTACCATACTTAACTCACAGGTATGTTTCTGAAGGCATTAAATACTAGCATTCTCAAAGTACAGAGTTTATATGAGTGAAGAATGAGGACACGAGCTTGCCAATTGCCAACAGCAATAAAGGAGGAGATTGATCATAACAGATGAGGAGAGCAGACATGTAATAACATAAGTAATTAAAACCATGTTGGTTTTTTAAATTGAAACCATTTAACATAAGCCTAATTGCCATTTTCAAACAACATCCCCCCAGAAACGTTTTCCTTAAGGTTATACTCTTATCAGGTAATGCCTGAAGCACCTTAAGAGCAAAGTACTGTTGAGAACACATAATGTCACCATTGTTGTATACAAATTCTCTTGAATACTGCAATGTATGTATTCCCCAGCCAGGCAAAACAGATGTTGTCATTACCATAACTGCCTTTCCTGTTGAAAATTTATAGCTCCAAGGAGAACAGGATCACCTTGCTACATGCTTCTGCTTCACCATGTTGGAAATACTCTCTTAGCATGTACAAAATCCATAAAGGATTTGTTATTGTTCATGATTATAGTGATCAAAATTGTGATACATCCTTCAAGATTAAAAAAGAACAAAACTGAGCTATGTATAACTTACATAGTCCGTGCAGTTGTCTTGCCCTTAAATGTACAGAACAAAACAAGGATACAGGAACATAATTACAGCTTCTCTTGACCGTTTACAATTATGTAAAATCCCCACCCCAGTTTTGTAGCCTCACCTGTGGATTTTCTCAAGGTTAAATTAAGTTAATTCAGGAATATGTGGTAGAGTTCTGAAAATAACAGCTCATAGAAATGTTTAGAAGCCTGTAATAAGTCAACACAGCATTTAGTTCATGTTTAATAGGTGTCACTGATTGTATGCATCCACAGACTGGCAGCTGTGTTCAGCACAATGAGATTTGAATTTGAATTCTTAGGAGTAGCACCTTTATGCATTTTTGTCTACATAAATGTTATTGGTGAGTATAATTTTGTTAAAATTGATAGCTGGTGTTTTTACTAACATTTTGTAATTTCTCTTTCAGATTTAGATTATGTTTTTGCACACTTCAGTGGAATATTTCTTACAAGTACCATCTACTTTTTGATCTATTGTGCAGTCAGGAAGAATAAACCTTATGTTTATCCACAAGCCATATTGCCAGGTATGACTGTTTTTAAATCAGCATTTCCTTTCAGCTACTTTTTTGGACCATTTTGCAGTGATTAGTTCAAGTTGTGTTCACCTTTCAAGTAACTTCATTTGACTTCTTGTCTCTTGAAAGAGCACTATTAGGTTACTTAAGGGTAGGAGACAGTGGTAACTTTTGTTCTAATCTGAAAAGAGAACGAAGTGACATTGCAGGTTTTGAAAAACTGATTGCCAGAGTGGAGAGCACATTGCCCAAAAAATAATAAACTTAAATTGATTTGCTACTTCAGTTGGAGTAGCTCATTTTCATCCTTCAAGCTTTGGTTTAGTTTGTCAGAGCCAGCTTGTTAAAGTAATTAATGTACTAAGCTACTTCTATACAATTGCTGTATTATGCTACAAGTATAAAACTTCCACAAATTGCTGCCCATACCTTGCTATGCGTGTTTTTGATTGGGATTTATTTTTCTAGGGTTTGTTTCTGGTGTGCTTTGGGCAATAGCCAATTGCTGCTGGTTCCTGGCCAATCACTATCTCAGTGCTGTTGTCAGCTTTCCAATAATTACTGCAGTAAGTATATAAAAAATAAAATCTCTAACTGGAATTAAAAGTGAATGGATTTTTTACCCTTCTGTTTTTGGAATTCAGTTGAAATTGATGGGTCTAGAGCATTGTTAGTCAAAATTATGCAGTGCCTACTCTGCCTGTCTGCACTAGTCTTTGGATTTTTAGGAGCATGAATGATTGTGACAAGCACCATCTTTGTCAATGTCAAGCATAAGAAAAACCAGACTAATTGAGAGTGTGAGTCTTCAGGTTATGTAAAAGCCAAAGCTTTGTAAACAGAATTATATCAATATTAACTACTTAATTGAAGTCATTATAAGAATAATTTTGTATGCTTCCATCCCAGGAAGTACATTTTGGTCTGGATGTTTTTGAATTTGTAAATTTTGTCCCCTAGTAGTCGTTTTGCTTGCTTAAGTAATTTTTTCTTTTTACAGTTCTTGAACAAACAGAACAGATTATGTAGTATTGAAAATAATGTTCTTATGCAAATGTTTGGAAAGTAGTTTAGCCTGTTCTGTCTCTGTTTGATTCCTGTTTATGATGTACCTTTAAAGCATAAATTCCAATTACTAGGTAAAAGTAAACTTTGCATTTATTCTCTTGACACTGCACTAGTTGGTAATACAAAGGTGGCAAATGAGAGTTAATAAATATTAAGGCCAAAGTTTTGCTTAACAGCTGTGTTTTGGAAGCAAACTAATGAAACAGCTTTAATAGGGATTGAGCTTTGCCTCAAGATGCAGTAAGTCAAAATAAACTCTGCAGTGTGCAATGAAAAAAAAAAACCTTTGGATCATTCTAATTAGAAATTGAAGGATTAATGGGAAGCAGTTTTTGTAATTTAGTTATCAGTATGCCTAAAGGAGAAGGATGTAAAATCACAAAATGAAAAAGAAAAGGAAGCACTGATGAGAAACTGCCTATCTGGACCACAGGTTCAGAACTGCTGCTTTACTTCACTCTGGAGAAAAGTTTTAGAGAGGTATTCATCACATCCCTTTAATACTTTGTTCCATTTTTTAAAAGTGCATTCCTCTCACAGCGCACATTATCTATGACGTGAAATAACCCCTCAAATAATAGTTGGCAAAGTCACTAGGAAACAGCACCCACACATATATTCAGCATGAGACACTGTTTGCTGCTTATATCTGTGTCCCATCAGCTGCATTGAGGATGAAGAGAGGAAGGTCACTGGCCAAACATCTGTCAAGTGTTTCTCAGAACAGCTCTAATGCAAAGCATTAACAGAGCCAGTTTTGCTTCATGTTCAGATATTTTCTCATCAGAGATGAAAATTCAGATCCTTTCTCCCTCAGGGGAAAAACTCTATAACCCAGAGTGCCTGGAAGTTGCTGTTGTGTATCAGTGTTTGCTGATAGCCAGGAAACCTGGCTACAACAACATCACAGAAAACCAAGAGTTTCCCTGACCTGTCTCCCTGGCTGGCTTTGTGCTTTGTCCAGATGCCAGCTATACAGGAAATACATCTGTGTTTCAGTCTCTTGATAACCTACTGAGTGATAAAATCAAGCTTTGTCCAGTAGTTAGTCATGCTAATAAAGGAAATGTTAGGAAACAGTGTGGACTCTTCATTTGGGCTAAAGTGAGACATGTTATTTGGAGTCCACTGAAAGAACATGTAACAGCTGGAGCAGACTCTGCAGTGTAATGTAGAAAGCAGTTGTGCCTACTGGAAAAAAAAAAAAAAAAAAAAAACCAACAGTTTCTTGACTCTTTAGCCCTTCCTGAAGATTTTATTGTATCTTACTTAGTAAATATTTCAGTGATGTTTATGCTTTTGTCATAAGTGCTTTATTTATACACAGAATGGAAGGACTTAAATGTGTTATGCAGACAAATTCAACCACCCTGAGAGCAGTAATGAGACAGAGTAAATTTTAATGAAGTGCTGTAATGTACAAATTAATCTTATTCTTTAGGGTCCTGGCCTTGTTGCTGCAATGTGGGGAGTCCTTGTGTTTAAGGAAATCAAGGTAATGTAATTAGGTCTCTGACCTAATAACTCTTGCTTGCCTCTACCTGTAGAGACAGCATGACTTGGTATCCTGCTCCTTACAAGTATTACACTATGAAACTGAAAGTGATATCGTGCCATTTTCCAAGAAACCTGAAGAACTGTGGATAATTTTTACAGGAATGAGGATTTTAGTTCCATGGCTGTATGAGGAGCAGTGGATGTAAATGAAGACTGTAGCACAGCCAGGAGCAGGATGCCAGCCACTGCCTGAAGACAGTTTTCATTTGAGCCAGTTCTTTCAGTGGAGCAGGGGAATGAGCAGTTGTCCCAATAATGCATCAGCAAGTACATTACATTTTTAGGGTCAGGTTCAACAAAAGATGTAAAAATGCAGCAGGTATTGTAATTACAGTTGTTATTACATTGTAATATTATTATTATTAGAGATGTTATTGTTGTAAAGACCTTTGTAATTGCAGTGTAATGTAAAGATTCTAAATTGATACAGCAGTGGTTGTCTACAATAAGCTAATTTACTTGATTTTAACATATAGGGCAGAAGTTAGTTTTCTAGTGGAATCTGAAGCACTGAATGGTAGCAGTGTAACACCAGATTCTTTTTGCCAATCTACCCAGGATCCATGGGTACCTAACTTGGATCTAGAACTAGAAGTTCTGTCTCCCACTGCAGATTAGTGTTGTACTACTGTAGAAGGTCATAATGTTCATTACCCAAATCTTTATAACTCTCTAAGCCTTTCATTCTTTTCATATAATCTCTGCCTAAATGAAGCTTAGTACTTTGTTCTACTTTTTTTTTTTCAAATGGTATCAATAATGACAAGATATTTTCCTTTTTCTCTTTTACCTTTTCAGGGATTGAAAAACTATGTGCTACTATCAGTATCATTTTGCATCATTTTGGCTGGATCACTTTCCACAGCTTTTTCTAAAGTTTGAAAGGACCTTCTGGACCAGTAGATGGTGCTAGCGTTTAACACAAGTACAAAGACCATGTTGGTAGATCTCAATACATAATAATTTTCAAAATGCATGTCCAAAATTTACACTAACTTCAGCCAAGAGGAAGATGAAAACATTTGGCATGAAAGAAAATCTGGAAATATTTGTTCCTGTTTTTCTTGTAATAGTAAGAAAATCAAAGGACTTTATTAATCAAAGCTAAATGATTTTATTGTTACTAATTTTTTGGTTTTTCATTCAGGTGCTAAACTTCATGTCATCATAAATTTTGGATAAATTGTTGTGATAGTGGATAGTGATTTTAATGTTATTTATAATACTGTATATGTTTGCAAGCTGATTTGTTTTATTAAAACATTTTTCTTACTGACTTAAATATAAGATACATCTTGAAATTTTCCCTATGAAACTGATATCCATAAAAATAATAAACTTTTTCTTTTATTTAGAAGCATTATTCTTTAAACTCATGAGTGTATGTGAAAATGTTATCTTGCAGTCACTTCAGATTTGCAAAGGAAATTGAGTAAAAAGGGTGCTGCAAAATAAATTACTTTTGTTTCATTTTTCCATAACCACCACTAACAGTGACAGCTGTTTATTTTCTTACTTGTGGCAGCTAACCTTCATATATGCAGAGCATGTTCTTTGCATCTCCCCTTAGCCTTTTCTTCAGTACATTAGACACCCCCAGCTCCTTCAGTCTTCTCTTGCCTGTAACTTGCTTGCAATTTCTGTGTCTTTCCTGACAATAGAATGGTTTTGCTGGAAGGGACTTCAAAATCATCTAGGTCCAAACCCTCTGTTAAGGGCAGGGATGCAATTCACTAGACCAGGTTGCTGAGGGCCCCATCCAACCAGACCTTGAACACTTCCAGAGCAAGACAGAAGCAGCTTCTCTGGACAGCCTATTCAAGTCTTTCACCACTACTGGAGTAAGGAATTTCATGCTAACATCCAATCTAAACCTAACCTCTTTCAGTGTAAAACCATTGCCCCTTGTCTTGTCACTGTCTGCCCATATAAAAAGTCCCTCTCCCTCCTTTTTGTACACCACCTTAAGCTTCTGGAAGGCTGCAGTGAGGTTTCCCTGAAGCTTTCTCCATGCTGATCTCTCACTAAGTGGACTGGGTCTGTGTAGAATACCAAAACATAGCAGTCAGGCTACATCTTGTAGCCAAAAGCTAGGAAGAGCAGCAGTAAGACTATGGGTGTTTTTCCCCATCCCATTTGCAAGCTCTGTTCATAGTTAGACATCACAACTTTTTGCTATCATGACTTGATATTGTTAGCATGTTTAGATTGCAATCATAATTTCTCCTTTCTCCCTTCCACCTTTCTTTGTCTGCTCTGCAACAGATTTGATTTTATAACTGTTACTTAACCTGCTTTTTCCTGTCTTGTCTTGTTTATTCCTACCTAGGTGTCAGAACTTGATGTCTGACAGTTTTTTCCCCCTTTAGGCATTTCTCTAATGTTAAACTTGTTCTCCAACAAGGTGGCAGCATTTTTCAGCCGGGTGTCATCTGCAAATTTAATAAATGTACTCTCTAATTGCTATAAATAATTAATGAAAATGCTGCATGTTACTGGCATTTACTTACATTTTGGTATCTAATACTTCTTTTTACTTTTCAGGGAACAATTGATTAACCTTTGAGTACAATTTTCCTGTCTTGCAGTGCTTTTGTTTAGACTGTGTTCTCAGAGCTTTTACATAACATCAGGTAGAAAAACCATCGCACATGATGTTTTCTACTAATACCTGATATTGAACTGAAAAGTGGTATTTTTTTTTCTGTCCAGTACCTGGGTCAGGCACAATTTCTCCTTGACAGACATCGACTGTTACTTACCTAGCCATTATTCTATTGACTCAGACAAGGACAAGTAATATATTCATTGTGGTTTTGAAATAACTTGAATTAAACAGGACATTTATTCATTTCCTTGGTTCTGTTTAATTTCTTAAAGTTCACAGTCTTAAGGATTCCCTTCTTAAATATTCCAGGAATTTATTCCATGCCAGAAAGTTGCTGATCAACAAAGAATTGGAAAAATGAAAACACAATATCCTTAGGCTCCTCAGGTTTATACATAGGCTTTAGGATAGGACTTTAAAACTGGCCTTTAGTATGTCAGTGAGGTGCATATACTTCACTGGTTTACATATAGTAAATTATTAGTGCCTCAGTCCTGCTCCCTAGGAGGGGCAAGGCAGCAGCAGGACAAGCTGCCTTGGGCAAGCAGGTGACAGCAGCAGGGGCAGAGGGGCAGGTGCCTGCCCTGCACAGCCCCTGTTTCCCCCCCCAGACCCTCTCCCCTTTCTCCCCTCTTCCAGGGGGAAGCTGTGCTCTCAGTGAGCAGTGAACTCTGCAGGAAATGTCCCTCCTGCTTCAGGCAGGAGCTCTGGGCTGTTCCAGTGCCCCTGCATGGAGGATGGCCAGAGGGTGCTGGTTTTCCAGCCATGCTTCCAACAAGACTGTGCCTGCTCCACCTCAGGAGCAACTCAAATGCAGGCATGCTATTGGAGTTTTGAAACTCAAGGGCTTTGTGGTGTCTAGAATTATAATCACTTTAGGTAAAGACATGTCACTTTTAGATGAAGAAAAGAAACTTGGATGCAGTATTCCATGCTGAACTGTACAGGAAATGTTACAAACTGTACATTCTGTTCATCATCTCCGTAACAACTATGACTTTAAAGGCTTGGGACATTATATTTACTACAGGAAAAAATCCCAACCTAACTAGTAACCAGGGGGGTTTTCTTCACAAATAGGCATAGATCTAGTTCAGCTATGGAGAAGATACATGCTCCTGTGGCTGCTGCTATTTCCATGACGATGAGAGACAGAACTTCCACCCTTTCTGCTTTCCCCCATCCTCTATACATTCCCTGGGATAGATGATCTTACAGCCTCTGCTGTCTCTCTTGGGGGATGCTGTTAAATTAACTTGAAATACAGGCACAGCATTCATCTACTGGATATGATTACAGGAAACAGCTAAGTGTTCCAGGGCAGGAGCACCTTTGCATTTCCTAGATTTTGTACAAGATCATTGATTTTTATTGGGGGGGGAGGGAACAAACAAACAAACACAGAAAAAAAATAAAAAAAAACCAAAAAAAACCACCTGAGCTCCTGTCCATAGCAATTGCCATGTAAATAAATGTTTGTAGTCTGATGCAGTTCTCCAGTCTATGTTGTAAGGCTATCAGATCTGCAGGCTTAATTGCTGACTGCTAGGATGTTAATTAAAAATCTTCCTTATGACAGCTCAAGTATGACCTTTATTAAAATTTTTTTACAAGCTGTCCTATTAGATTTGACTTGTTGACTGCAAGAAAAAAATCCCACCACTTCCAGCACTTTTCTGTGAAAAGTCCCCTGTGGCATTCCAAAATAATTTTTGTGATGTTCACTTGGAATATGTTGTATAAATATTCCACTCATTTCTGAGATTTTTCTTGGTCTTGACATTTCCAGTTAGAAATAACACTGTTACTTCTTTCATGTGAGGATGCTGGATTAACAGCATGTTTACAGAGTTATTTGTACAAAATGGTCTGGAGTTAGAAATAACACTGTTACTTCTTTCATGTGAGGATGCTGGATTAACAGCATGTTTACAGAGTTATTTGTACAAAATGGTCTGGAAGTAACTGAGTTTAGTAAGAGAAAAATCTACAGCTAATATAAATTGCCATGGTTCTGTTTATATCAACTTGTTTTTGTATAAATGGAAGAATCACATCTCTTGGAGAAAACTAAGCTTTCAAATATTTGTTTATGCCTGTTCAGCAACTTTTAAGAACATATTTTAGCTTGCTTTAAGAATTTTTCTCTGGTAATACTTAGAGGCAAAGTAGCCTTTAAAATATAGGTAAACTGGGAGTTTTTGAAGATTTTTGTGCAGTCTTGTGAGCTGGGGAGCTCGGTGTCATCTTTTTTTAGATTTCTTTTACCTCTTTATTCCTTTACCTATGTTAATTATCAATGGATAATTTGAGGCTCACTGCCCTTCCAGATTTTTATTCCTTCATATTCTTAGTAAAAATTATTGTACGTGGAAAAATAATTTAAATACAATTGCTCCTAAAACTGGTGCTTTTTTAATCCTAGATAAATTTTGTATTTTCTTTGCATCATAATTTTCTTTTTCAACTGATATTCAAGGTTGATTAAATACTATTTCAACTGTCTGACCTGATCTTGAGCTTTCTTGCAGCTGGCCTAAAAATAAAATGAAAATTAAGATGATGCATGCTGGCAATTACTGGTTTTTTTCTTTTCATTTTGACCTTGTTTTCAAATATAAAACTGATGTTTAATGCCCTATTCCATAATTACTGAATTACTAATGGATTATACTTTCCTTTAGCTATATGTAATGCTGATAGATAGTGACTATGAGGTATATTATGTTAATTGCTGAAGAATTACATTCTTCATGCTTACCATAAAATAGTTTTAAAATCTAAAATATATTTAATTTTTAATATAAATACCAAACAGTTCTTGTGTCTCTTGCTGCTGTAAAGGGCCTGTTTGAAAGTCTAACCTGAGAGAGGAAATAAAGGAAACAGGACCTGCATTAGTCCTGCTGCTATCAGTGGTTCAGGCAGTCCTTGGGCAAGTAACTTGGCATGACCTCAGGTTTTGGTATTCATATAGGGACCAATTCACTGGTACTGACATAAACCATACCTAGAGATACTAAAGTTATTGCCCATGTCTTAGCATTTTTCATGTTGTAGATCTTCTAAAAACATTTCCTGCAGAACTGGGAAACAAACCACACATCTTCCCGGGCCAAAGCAGGGAAGAGGTGCAGAGGGAGAGGTTTTTCACCTTACTTAATAAAATGAGAGAACTGGTGGCTGCAATTTTTCTGTGCCCCTTGGTTTGCTGCAGTGAGGAAGCTGTCACATCTCTCTGAGCTAGTCTCACTGAGCCTGTAGGCAAACCTCAAAGGATATTGTTCATTGACACCGTTCAGGGATCAGAATAAAAATGTTGCTGTTTGTGCATAGAGGCTGGGGAAGAGGAGCACTTGTTCAGGAGTTGCAGAGTGATAACTGCTCCCCACCTGTATTTGTACACCTGGGCTTTGATCCCAGCCAAGGAAGAGCCCTGGGAATACAAAGGCCAGATACTCTTTGCAGATCCATCTTAGAAGAAGGACTGATCTAGTCCTTAACTGGATGGCAATATTTCACATCAGGTGGTGCTCTGACTCTGTAGGTTATTTTCCAGTTGATTTTGTGTGCAATTGAAAGGTTGGAACTTGTATAAAAGCATATCATGGCTTGTGTTCCTTGAAGCATTCTGTGCTTGTCAAGTTCAAAGGAAATGGTTTAGACTGTTGGCTTGTCTTACTTCCAGATGTACTTGCAGTGAGCATGCATGACCTCATCATCAATTTCTGCTTCAGATGTTTGTGTCTAGCATTTTCAAGTGAAGTAGTTGAAATTTAGTGCATAAATCCAAAAACTAGCATTTCTATC